GAGGTGCGACGGCGTCTTGGCAATTCAGGAACGATTCGAGCGATTCGAAACGAGGGCCCAACCCTCGACGAGCGATTCGAAACGAGGACCCAACCCTTCGATCTCCCCTCAGAACCTTTGGGAGCTCTAGCATCGCATGGTAATCCTCAAAACTTGGAGGTGCCTGACCCCATCCCCAACCAGTGGAAGTTGTGACCAGCCATCGCCCCCCACCCCCCCTGATCCTGGCGACACTCGGCACCCTGGACCCATTAGTTTTTCTGTGTTTCTTCTGGGGGAAGGGGGGTGGGTTTGGCGAGGGGGGGGGGTGTAAGGACAAAAACAAGCTGAGCGCGCCCCCCCCCTTAAAGTTCGCTTGCGGACCGAGGGGGGGCGGGTGTCACATACTGATTGTTTAGCTTCACCACGCTGGGCTGAACATGCCTGCCTTCGGCGGGGACGGGGCGACGAACTGGGCGGACTCACTCGATTCGCCGTCCTCCCCGTCGCCGCCGTCGTCGTCACCGCCCTCGCTGTTGCTCTCGGCGGCCTGCGCGCCCGTCGGCGTGGCGGTGGCCGCGGGCTTCCGAAGCTCGACGCCCGATGGCCTCTTCTACATCAGCGGCTCCTCGTCGTCATCGTCCTTGCTGTCGCCCGCGACGTCGGCGGCCTCGCGGGCTGCGGGGGATGAGGAGAGGGAGGAGGAGGAGGAGGAGGAGGAGGAGGAGGAGGAGGAGAAGGAGGAGGAGGAAGAGGAGGCGGAGGAGGAGGAGGAGGAGGAGGGAGACGCGAACCTTGGGGGCCGCACAGTGTCACAAAATTCTCCCACGCGCGAGCTTCCCCAAGCAGCTTGAGGCGCGATGGGATATGGAGTGGGAGTGGGAGTGGGAGGGGATGACATTGAATAGAGTTAGCTTGGATTTGGTTTGAGTTGGATCGGTTCGAAATGCCCCCTCACGATCCCTCCTCCCACGTTCCTCGCCCTCCTCCTCTTCCTCCTTTGTTCCGTCCTCCTGAGGCATCGTCTTCCTCCTCGTCCGCGTCGTCCTCCTCTTCCTCTTCATCCTCGTCCGCGCCTTCCTCCCCCCTCCTCCCCATCTTCCTCATCTTCCTCCTCCTCCTGCCCCTCCTCCTCCTCCAAGCTGTCAACCAGTCATTCACATGGTATGCCAATGCTGATGGTTCCTGCCTGCCCAAGGGGGGTGGAGACCCCCAGATCATAGCCTCCGAACTGCCCTGCCGATCCCAACGCTAAAGTTGAAACGAACCCGCCCCCGTGCGCCTGAGCAGCAGCTGGCCGCTTCATGCCCATGCTCTTCCCGCCCTTGGTCACCGTGGAGGCAACCTTGCCGTTCGTCTTCAAGTACTGCTCGTACAGCACGTCCCTGTTCCCGTAGAGCTCGTCCTTCTTGATCTCGTTCTCCGCGTACCGTTTGGCGACCGTCGTAATGGGGCGCACCGCGTCCTCCTCGCTGTGGAAGTTCTTGAGGGCAACCATGCACACCTGGCCCTGCTGCTCGTAGAGCGAAATGAGTGGATGCCTGTCCGCGCGGTGCTTCACGTAAAGCTTGTGGTGGGTGATCGAGTGTTCGCCTTCCCAAAGGGCCTCGCGGCGGACGCCGCCACTGGACCACGACTTGTACTCGTCGACGGTGACGGCTGCGACCTTGAACTCAGCCTGGTTGTGCTTGTCCTTCCAGTAGGCGATGATCGGGTCGGTCCCAGCCGCGCCCTCTGGAACCCGCAAGCCAGTGCAATATTCTGGCTTCTGCTTCCCTTTGCCATGTTTCTTGGTGCGGCACGCCCGCTTGAGGTCCTTGTCCCACTCGTAAGTGAACTGCTCGGCTTCAGCTTGTTCCTCCGCCTCCTCGGCCTCGCCGTCGTCCTCCTGGTTCCAGGGAAGCTTGAGCACCCACTGCGGCTGCGGCTGCTTCAGCTCTCCCTGAAAGAACTGTGTTGCGTTCCATGCCGCGTCCTCCTCCTCTTCCTCCTCCTCCTCCTCCTCCTCCCCCTCCTCCTCCCCCTCCTCCTCCTCTCCTAAGCCTTCCCCTCCTCTCCTCCTGTCTTTCCCTTTGTGCCCTCCGACTCACCGCGCCATGTAGGTTCAAGTATCCCATGGGTCCGAACTCAGAAGCAAGCAAACGAATCAATGTCTGTAGCGAGTAGCGCCTATCGTTCTCGATCGGTGCCCTTGAACCCCCAAACAGATCAGACGAGAAGGAAGACACATAAAAACGAGTGTCCTGCGAAACAGACCTGCAGATGTTGGTCAACCTGCACTTCATCACGTTGAGGTAAGACTCCTTGTGCTCCGCCTTCACGCCCCATTTCGAGTCCTCTTTGAACCTCTCCAGCAGCAGCTCGATCGCATCCTTGAACTGGCTCTTGTTGAAATTCATCGATGGGTAGATGTCGTGCAGTGCTGCAAGCAAGGCATGCTGATTACTGACCTGATCGACCTGGAGCTTGCTGAGAGCAACTTTCTCATTCTCGTCGTACTTGACGAAGTTTCTCCCTAGAGACTTCACCGTGTCAGCTATAGCATCAGCGATGTCCTGTCCGTTTCCTGGATAACTCGGCCTAGCCTTGGGTGGCATATCGCTCGAGCTTGGATGCCTCTCGGAAGGTTCGCGGGGTGTTTCGAAGCATGAGAAACCCTCCTCCTCCTCCTCCTCCTCCTTTTCCTTCTCCTCCTCCGCATCCTCCTCTTCGCCCTCCCCCTCCCCTTCCTCCTCCTCCACGTCCGCCTCCTCATCCTCCTCCGCCAGCTTCTCCTCCCCCCTCCTCCTGCTGCTGCTGCTGCTCCTCCCCCTCGGGCGCACTTTGACATCGGGGGAAGGGTGGTCGCTGAGACTCGCTGTTTGTCATCGCCGTGTTCGTGGAGAGGGGAGGATCGACCCAACTACATGCAATCCCTCAGCCGAACGCGAGTGCACCCAATTAAGACAGCCAGGGTTGCACGGAATACAAGTTGATCGGGCCCCCGAGACAACGCCCAACACCGATAGAACAGACAACAACATATTTTGCGTGCTCGTTCGCAATTTGGTCGAACTCGTGTGCAACGAATCGCGCGTTTTTGTACCCAAAAGGCATCATCAATGATGTTCGCCGACGAGCCCAGCGAAAATGGCCCCGCTACCAGATGTTGGCCCCGATGCAAGAAATATATCTTACATGCAAGATCTATAATGCTGTAAGAAATATTTCTTGCATGCAAGATCTATCCACCCTCTGGGCGGTTAGCCGGTCAGCCGGTCAACCAGTCGTCCAGTCAATCGGTCAATCGGTCAGCCGGTCAGCTGGTCAGCTTGTTAGTTGGTCATCTGGTCAGCCGGTCAGCCGGTCAGCTGGTCAACCGGTCAGCCGGTCAGCGCCTTCATCAGCTTCTTCACGCGGCCAGCTGGTCAGCCCGTCAGCCGGTCAACCGGTCAACCGGTCAACCGGTCAGCCTGTCAACCGGTCAGCCGGTCAACTTGCACAACTATTCCACCATCGCCGTACCAAGCGGAACACAGTGCGAGTTCGGTCCTTTTCGAGCCGATTGAAGTCGTTCAAGGCATGGCGACCCGAGCTGGAAGTTCTCGATGTGTCCCCGTGTCTGAATGCGCTCGCAATACGGCGGTTGAGATCGCCGATGCTGCCCGCGCAGGGTCCCTAGCCCCAGGATCAAGCGTTGCACCGTGTCTCGTTCCCGCCAGGCCATGTTGCTGAAATGCTCATCGTCGACGATCACTCGGTTTTCAGAAGCTTTCCTGGCGAAGTTCTGCCCCCTTGTCCTGACGATCCGACTCGCACTGACAAGAAGGTGTCTGCTACGTGCGATCGTGATTACCCTGCAGCGGGATTCATCTAGCATCCTGGAAAATGCACCCGCGCCGCGACCCACAAGGTCGTCGTCGGTGCAGAGGTGGAAGGTCGGATCGGCATAGTCTGCGCACCGCTCGTCCGAACGGTTGGAAATAGGAGGAGGAGGAGGAGGAGGAGGAGGAGAAGGAGGAGGAGGAGGAGGAGGAGGAGGAGGAGGAGTCGACGGGGAAGCAATCTGAGCGCCCATCAGCGACAATATTTGTGCGCTGGGCTTCACATAGGACACAATTGAACGCACGGTCGCGGAGGAAGAGGGGGGGACGAGGAGGAGGGAGCAGGAGAAAGCCTGGAGACGGAGGAGGCCAGTGCGCGGCCGTCGGGTGTGAGCCACCCGACCCCATCGTTGGGCGCACGAGCACTGGCCTGAGGTAAGGAGCGGGGAAGAAGTGGGGATAACGTTGGGAGAGGAAGAGATGAAGTGAAAGAAACGCGCGGGGCCCACAGCGGCCAACTTGGCTGCAGAGCACAGGTTGGAGAAAGAGGAGGAGAAGGAGGAGGAGGAGGAGGAAACGGAAGGCAGCAGGGCGGAACGGGGGGCGTTCCCAGCAATATACACGGGGCCCTTGCTGTCCTCAGCAAGGACGTCCTGAGCCGCCCGGACGGACTCCCCTGGCGGGCTGTCCTTGACGTGTCTCCGCATGACGGCCCGCGCAGAGGCCTTGCAGATGGCGCCCCCCGCGCCGCCGCCGAAGACCGCTGAGGGCCGCCGACGACGAGGACGAGGGCGTCGGCGTCGGCGACGATGGCGCCGCCAACGCCCTCCACGCAGTCGCCGAGGGCCGCCGACGACGACGGCGGCGGCGGCGACGGCGGCGCCGCCAACGCTCCCCGCGCCGGCGCCGCCGAGGGCCGCTGACGACGAGGACGACGGCGTCGGCGACGACGGCGCCGGCAACGCCTTCCGCGCCGCTACCGAGGGCCGCCGAGGGCCGCCGACGACGAGGACGACTTCGTCGGCGACGACGGCGCCGCCAGCGCCCTCCGCGCCGCCGCCGAGGGCCGCCGAGGGCAGCCGAAGGCCGCCGACGACGAGGACGACGGCGTCGGCGACGACGCCCGCCGTGCCGCCGTCGAGGGCCGCCGAGGTCCGCCGCCAGCGGCGGCGGCGGCGAGGGCGGCGGCGGCGAGGGCACCGGCGGCGCGCGGGGCAGGAGCGCAACGTGGGCGTCCAGGCGTGCGCGGCGACGGCGGACTTCGGCATGCAGGTGCAGGAGCTCGGGTGAAGCCCAGCAGACAGCGACGCTCTGCAACCCGTGCGTGTTACGAAAGCCTGTGTGTTTTGCATGTTTTTGGGGAACTCGATTGCGAAATCCTTCCGACACCGAAGGTTTTTGAAGGATTTCGGCATGCGCGCGCGACGACGCGCGCGCGTGTGCACTTCGTCTCATTTTTGCAAGGGATTCGTGAAAAAGTGCTATGTTAGAACAAAAAATGTCACCGCATAGTGTTGTTTTACAAGGGAACCTCAGGGGGGGGGATACCGGCCCCCTTGGGATAGTGCAAATTCATATTTAGGATGGACATGTGGTCATCATCATATGTGATTTACATACCCGAAGGGGGGGCGATAACGCCGGGGGGGGTAGAGTTTTTTTTTTTTAGAAAGGAGAATCAATCACTTGCTCAACTTGAAGCTGTCTTCTCCACTGCTCGTGCAGACATCCCACCCTCACACCCGCAGCTTGGTTTGCAAGACCTCTTAAGACCGTGGCGCTAGGTACCAAATGGCACTTGGCAGCGACACCGACGCCGACGACGGCAGCGACAACGACGACTACGACGACGCCGCCGACAACGACTACGACGACGCTGACGACGTCTCCAACGACTTCGACGACGACGCCAACGACGACGACGACGACGACGACGACGACGACGACACCGACGACGACGACGGCGACGACGACGACGCTGACGACGACGCTGACGACGTCTTCAACGACTTCGACGACGACGCCAACGACGACGACGACGACGACGACGACGACGACGACGGCGGCGGCGACGACGACGACGACAACGCCGACGACGACGACGACGCTGACGACGACGACGACGAAGACGACGACGACGTTGACGACGACGACGACGTTGTCAATGAAGACGACGACGACGAGGGAGGAGAGACGACGACGGCGACAACGACGACAACGACGAGGGAGGAGGGAGGACGGCGACGACGCGAACGACGAAGAAGGAGGGAGGACGGCGACGCCGACGACGAGAACGACGACGAGGGAGGAGGGAAGACGACGACGACGACGACGACGGCGACGAAATAGGAGCGACGACGACGAGACGCCTACGACGGACGACGACGACGAGGGAGGAGAAAGGACGACCACGGCGACAACGACGACGGAAACGACGACGACGAGGAAAGATAGAGGACGACGACGGCGACGACGACGATGACGACGAGGGAGGAGGGAGGACGGCGACGACGACGACGACGACGACGACGACGGCGCAAGAGCGCGCGCGCGCACTTGTTGAATATCCGTGTTGCGAGACCCTGTGCTTTTGTATGTTTTTTGGAGACTCGATTTTGACATCCTTCCGAAACCGAAGGTTTTTGAAGGATTTCGGCATGCGCGCGCGACGACGCACGCGCGCGTGCACTTCGTCTTATTCCAAACCATCCTGTGGTGTTTGGTCCTCGTTTTGAAGAGGCAGCGCCCCGCGTCACCTCCTCACTCCTCCTCCCCTTCCTCCTCCTCCTCCTCCTCCTCCTCCGCGAGGTATTGGTGATGTGCCAGGAATGGTGCCGGGGGGAACTTGAGTTGTTCCCAACCATCTTGTGGTGTTGGGTCCTCGTTTTGAAGAGACAGCGCCCCGCGTCACCTCCTCCTCACTCCTCCTCTTCCTCCTCCTCCTCCTTCTCATCGTCACCACCAGCATCATCCCACTCATTTTGGCACACCCCTCACACGGTCCGTGGCCACACAGGGAGCTCCACCGAAGGCCTCAGCGGCACAGGCCGAATGCGGGGACCGCACCCATGTTGGCACACCTCTCACACGGTTCGTGGCCCCACAGGGAGCTCCACCGAAGGCCCCAGCGGCACATGCCGCATGCGGGGACCGCGCCCATTTTGGCACACCCCTCATTGGGTTCGTGGCCCCACAGGGAGCTCCGCCGAAGGCCCCAGTGACACAGGCCGCACGCGGGGACCGCCTCCCATTTTGGCACACCCCTCACACGGCTCGTGGCCCCACAGGGAGCTCCACCGAAAGCCCCAGCGGCACATGCCGCATGCGGGGACCGCGCCCATTTTGGCACATCTTTCACACGGTTCGTGGCCCCACAGGGAGCTCCACCGAAGGCCCCAGTGGCACAGGACGCATGCGGGGACCGCACCCATTTTGGCACACTTTTCACACGGTTCGTGGCCCCACAGGGAGGTCCACCGAAGGCCCCAGTTGCAGAGGCCGCGTGCGGGGACCGCCATTCATTTTGGCACACCCCTCACACGGTTCGTGGCGCCACAAGGAGCTCCACCGAAGGCTCCAGCGGCACAGGCAGCACGCAGGGACCGCCACCCATTTTGGCACACCTCTCACATGGTTCGTGGCCCCACAGGGAGCTCCACCGAAGGCCTCAGCGGCACAGGCCGCATGCGGGGACCGCCACCGATTTGGCACGCCCTTC